TGTTCCAGCACCGACTCACTGTTGACAGGTCCTGGCCAAAAAATGACAGATGCTTGGCACTGGCCACCAAACGAACGTCAACCCAACAATGTGAGCAATTGCGGCGATTGCAGGAAAGGCGCACAACATTTGGTCTAGAACCTGCATCCGTGTTGTTTAGGCACAGGAAATGAACCCCTGGGCACGATTCCCAAAGTGGCCAGTGTCGAGTCATGTGTGCCACTCAATGATCTGCAAAGGGTTGCCGCTCTGCAGGAACATTGGCTGGATCTTGCGACGGCAAACAGCCTCATCCTAACCAGCTGTCCTAAAACCAACCCGGTAGGGCCGATTGACTGAGCAAGTGCTACCCCTTTGGCAAAGCTTTCTGGGCTTTGGAAAATATTGAACCCCAGCGCTGGCTGGGGCTCGCCAAGACTAGCTTCAGAACGAATCAACCTTGAAATGCCCGTAAAGAACATGGAATGTGACAGGGCCATTGAAACCTGAGGCCAGCCTGGCTTCATACTATGATTTCTTGTTACGCTGGCCTGGCGTGTGACTTAACCATCACCAATGTGTCCCCCCCGTATTATGAGTCAGAATGTACTTCCCCGCCCAGGACTCGAGAACATGCTCTTTGCTTCAACTGTCAAGCACAGTTCACTGTCAAGCACAGTTCACTGTCAAGCATTGTTGAATGCAAGCGCCCGAGCGTTGCCTTTTCATAGGGAATCTGGCGGGATGCGGGGCAAGATGGACTATATGAAGAAATTAACAACTTCAAAGAGCGGAAGACGGACACTCCTAAGAATTGGACGGCTTGACGCTGCGCCGGGCAACATTCAACATGACCAACTCGACATCGAATGCTTCTCTTTGAAGGGGGTAGTCTACCCATCATTCAATCATACCTTCAATGAGCGCGTAATCCGTGAAATCACGCCAAGCCACACACCAGCGCGTGCACCAGATTGGGGTTCACGCTCCCCTGCGAAACCCGCAAGAAGGACAAGAGCACCTGCAAGGCAGCACAAGTTTCCGAAGAACAAGATAGGGCATTCAGCCACTCATGACTAAGCCCCTGTCAAAGTTTGCAGTCAATAAGAAAACATTAAAAAGTTTTTCTATATCAAACCGCCCGAGCCTTCAGGAAACAGTGCGACCTAATCCTCTTTAATAAGCAAACATTTGAAGGGTGCGACACCAGGAGGCAAGGCAAGATTTGTCTGGCGGTAGCCGTCAAACAGCGCAATCATATGAGCAGCTATGATCCAACGTGTTAGTAAGACTACATTGTGCGACCAAAGAAACCTTGGGAAACCAAGCAACCCAACAGCAAAGCGTGCCAAATGAGCCACGCAGCCGTGAGTGAGTGCTGCAGCAGCATGAACACAGATGGGCTCTTGATCAGCTCACGCTGCATGCGGTAGTCCTGCAAGGAAGGGCTCACAACAATCATAGCTGACTCTTGCTCCGACGAAACATGTAACACAGGATTGTGAGACAGTCCATCAAAAAACCAAGTGGCAAACTGTTTAACATTCAGAAAATGAGCAAACGCGACATATGGCGGGCGGGAACAAACAACAAGACCATGTGCCCCCACCCAGCTCAGGCGAGCGGGTCATGCCGTGTGCGGAAGGCGAATTGCACGAAACCGTAACTCAGAGACTCGTGCAAACTGCAGCGCAAGAATAACATGGATCACGCGGCAGGCGGAAAGCAAACACCCCGCAGCAGGACTGCAAGCCGCAACGCAGCTCGTTGTCGTTCCAGAGAAACATGCATGGACATCATGGACTATGGACTGCACGTTGGGCGGCAGGCGCAAACAACTCAAACGATAAAGCGTTGCATCAAGTGCTTTTGCGCGGCTCACATTGAATAAAACAAAAAGTGGATCATGCGGAAGGCGGAAGGTGGACACAGTCCGGCCACAGTGCAGCCAAAGTGCCCTGGCAGTGCCCGTCACCGAGAAGTCACGGTCAGGGTCATTTGGCCACAAAGCCCGAACCTTACATCACCACGGTACGTTTGGAGAAACAACAAAACAAGTTGACAACACACCCTGTTGCGGCTTCGGCGCAATTTCTTGATTGTTTGGGGAGTTTGCAGGAGGGCGCTCGTAGTTTGCAACAGGAGCCCACAGAGGCCTAACTTCTCCAAACAGCAGCTTCGCTAACAGTTGTGGCTTGTGACAGATGAGGAGTTCTGCGGCGGCCTGCAATGATTACAGTGTCATCTCGTGAGTTGCGAGTTATCATTCTCAGGGCATCGGTTTGTTGAATTGTCGTAGGACAAGTGATGAATAGACACCTTGACTTTAAAGTCCAAATAAAACACATTTTCGGCCAAGGCACGTCCAAGGTGCCCACCGTGTGATCCCTGTACTCCCGCTTCAAGAACCGCGGAATGATGGCGTGGCCGGGCTCACCGTCGTACCTCTCCTCCGCCCCATAGGCGACCACCACCACCTGCCGCCGCACAGGATCCATGATGCCGAAGGCGACTTTGCGTGCTTGCTTGCTTGCTTGCGCTCGCTTGCTTGCCTGCTTCCTTGGCTGATTCCTTTGCATTTGCAGGCTTGACTTGCCATGCTTCCTGCTGACAGTCATAGCCACCTGCTCAAAGTCAAATGCTCCAAGTCAGTCATGGTCACCTGTCACTGTCTTGCCTGTTCAAGGCTGCCAAATCTTGCGGAAGTCGCACAAGCCAATCTCTAGAGGACGTCAGATCAGCAACTCAACAACTCCATCAGCAGTCGCAACCAGCAATGTTCAGATTCAAATTTCAAAACCAGCAAAGGTCCAGGCAAGATTTGACATAAGTGTTGCAACAAGTGGCTGAACCTATGAATCTCGTCTCACGTGGCCTTTCCGCTTGCAACCGACTGAACAACTGCGCGGGGCACCGATCCGGCTTTGCGTCTTGACACTGGCTTCCTCCCTCCACAACCTCGGCAATGCACCCCATCGATAATTGAGTCATTAAAGCAACGACACCGTGATATGTGCAAGACTCTTGTCAGTAGGTCAATGGTCCAAGCCTCTGCAATGCCGAATGTGATTGACAACCGGAAAAAAATAGGGTTCTGATCATGCCTGCAATGTCTAGTAGAATGTTCAGCATAAGTCTGGAACCAGTTGCCACATTCGCTCTGAGGCCCCTGCTAGGTGCATGCTCTTGAGGAAGATAATGACCACATCAGCATCGCATGAAAAAAAAGTAAGCTGGCCCCAATGCAACAAACCATTGGATAGGTTCAATTCATGGCCAAACATCCACGCATCGACTCACACGAACACGTATTTAAACACAGACACACACACACACAAACAAACAGGCCTGCGCACACAAACAAACACGGGCCAAAAATCCCACCCTTTGAGCGCATTTTCATCCGCGCCTTTCGCTAGAACACTGAACCCTGACATTGCCTGTGAGAACCCGCGTTTCCCCGCGCACACCAGTAAGTTGTATATATATATACATATGATTATCATTGTACATGTTTATACATACAGTAGTACCCATCATATACAAGTCATGACATTTGCCATACGACGGTTGGGTGCAACACCAACATAAGACGCTGCGCCGTGCGTAGTGCAAAGGAGCAAAAGTGCAGTTTTACGACACAACAGCACAACGCTACCACTGTGTCTGCGCAAGATTGAAAGAAGCACTAGCATTTGCGGAAGTCGTTGCAAAGCCACACAACTAAGCCGCGCCCATTCTTCTGCAATCAGACGAGGTTGCACATACGGCTGCACTCAAAACACAGCAGCTTCAAGCATGACTGGCATCTTATCAGCAGTGCCAAGCGAAGAGCAACGAGGCAACTGCAACTACCCTTGCAGCTACCATGTTCAATGTCATCAAAGCACCCCATCACACACCACACTTCAACTGGCAGCAGCAACAGAGCCAGAGCGGCCAAATCCGGGAGGCCAAAGGTGCAACAGAACTGCTAGATTGCGTCGGCTCAAAAAATGACAAAGTCAGTCTGTCACTCCATGGTGCAGCAAACATGACACGCGTGCGCGTGGATCCCATGCATGGTGACAGCAGCACCAACTATGGAACAGCAGCCACAGAGCAACACCCACGCCATAGTCCAGACTTCTCGTACCGTCAGGCAACCCGCCAACTTCTGTTTGTCAACGGCACTAAAACCATCAGGTCATCCTACACAACTTGCAATAGCAAGAAGTGTACGCCTGCAAAGGGGAACATGCATGAGCGTACATGCATGCCAGTATACAAGCATTCTCCTCAGTTGCTTCCAAGCAGGTGGCCCGTCAAACTATTTGATTTACACTTCTGCACACACTGGCCACACTGACATCAGATCCACCTAGCTAATGCACAAACGTGCCACCTTGACGAAAAAATAAAAAATGCTTCTGGGGCCATCCTAGTCTTAGCATGAAATGCAAATGGCGGTGTTTCAGTATTCGAATCGAAGGTCAACTATTCAAGATTCCACAAACATCGTGTTAGAACATCCTCAATCCTAGCCCCCAAAAAGTTTAAAAGTCTGTCTGGACTCTTTAAGGTTTTCCCACCTGCCTTCAAGATTGAAGATCTCCAGATATTGTTTGTTGAGAATCATCAATCCTGGCCAGCCCTCAAGTTCCACAATAGCCGTAAAGTTGTCATCCTGGATTGAAGATTGATGATTGAAGGTTCTTTGTCAACTCTTTCTGGGATTCTTCAAATTTGTACTTAGGGCAATCCAAGATGTGCTAGCAAGTGCTAGCACACCCTGGATTGAAGATTGAAGCTTGAAGATCCTCAGACCACTTTCCTGGAAATCTTCAAATCCATACTTAGGTCAAACTGGTTTGTGCTAGCACATCCGGGATTGAAGATTGAAGATTGAAGAGTCCCGGAAAGAGTTGCGAGAGAATCTTCATTCTTCTCTATGATTTCCCTTCCTATCAAACAAATGGCCAGATATTTCGTCGTTACACAACTTCAGTTCCCGTTTCTTAACACCCTTTAAGCATGTTTAT